AATGTTTTTAGGCAGAGGTTGTCAACACGGCAGTCTATTTGCTTAATAGAATTCCCACAAAAGCGTTGATAAATTAAACTCCCTATGAAGCCTAGTTGGAGTGAAACCTACCGTGGAAAACTTGAGAATTCTTTGGGAGTATATTTATGCTCTTGTTCCAACAGTTAAGAGAAGTAAGTTGGATGACAAAGCCATGATGTTAGAGTCATGAAAGTGACTCTATTTTGGTGATAAAAATGCCCCATGTGTGATTAAATTAAAGTATATTGAGACAATTAAAGAATTTATGAATTTATTCACGAAAATCGCTTCCTAATATTTTTCTTACGAATTTAACGTGTTTGGAATGATTTTGGAAAGTATATGGTTGATATTAGGTTGTGGTTTATAGATTAAGGGTGATTTTGTCTCATTTATGTTGTTTAGGAGGTAAAATGTCATTTTTCAGGTGACTGATTTTGTCATGTTTCAATCGTGTAAGGACCAAATAGAAATTTGCCAAATTTTGTATAAAACAACAGTGCAAGTTCGCAGATCAGGTGGCTGCCGCCCACCAAAACTCTTCACCTTCTCCGATCAAGCTCCAGCGACCCTTCAGCTCCTTTTCCGCTGACTTTTCGGCTTCCCCTTGCTCCGGTCACCATCATCCCTTCATCACCACCGTGAAACACGCACGCCACCGTGAGCTTCATCTTCCCACCATGACGTTTCGTCTTCCCGGCCAGATTTGGCCATTTTTCGACGACATTTCAGCTCCCCAAGAGTCGATGTCCCTTCCCCATGGCTGGATCTAGCATTTCCAAGCTTTAGCAGCCGCAAAAACCGCCAGAATCTGTGATTTTGCCGTCGCACCTCTTCATCTTCCAGCCCAGATCTTGCTCATTTCTAGCAACTTCTCACCTCCCCAAGACCTGATCTGAACTCCCTATCACCAGATCTTTCCATCGGTACCTTCGGATCCCATTTCCGCCACCGTTTTTCGAAAGACCCGCCAGAAAATTAACGTTTTCCGGTGAGTACAGCTGTTCATATTTCTAGCTGTCCGTGGGTCATTTTTGCCCCTTCTTCGCATCATATCGCTATCGGTTACCTCCTCTTCACCATGATCAGCTTCGTTTCCACTGTTTCAGCCTTCGTCATCACCACCATGAGCGACTGAGTTCTCGGTTGTCTATTACGATGTAGGCGAGATCGAGATTGACTCCGTTGATCTCCTCATCAGGTCTCGACTAGTTGGATAAGCCCGAATGTTGGACATTTGGTTAAGTTTCTTGTATTCAGATTATATTTGTTTTCGTTTCAGTTTGGTTGCGATGCTTTAATATTATTCTGATGCTAGACGTGTTGAATTGATAATGTCCATTGAGAACGTTTATTGATATATAACTTTTCGCATAATTGAATGTCGGTTTGAGATTATTGAATGTTGATTATGACTTTAAATTGCTTCGGTATTGATTGCAATCAAGTTGTAGTAGCGTTTAATATCATTTCTACTAGGAATGCATTTGTTGTGTAATTAGTTGGTTGGATGATACAAGTTGATAGGTTGTACTTGTTAACGTTGTACCAACTAGTGGTGTTTAAGGGTTTAGCATTTTTCGGTTAGTCAATGATAGTCTTTAATCAATTGATCTGTAACTAAGACGACGGGGAGACAGGATAGATTATGCCTAGATTGCCGGGAGATATTTCTATTGATTTGCCTAGCCTTGTAGGATTAGGAAATTGAAGAGCGAGGAGAGGAATTGTGAGAGTTGGTCTTAAGTCAAACCGAACCTGTAGCGACAACGCTTTTAATATTGTGTTTTAGTTAGAATTTATTTAATGCTTTTAATTTCCTACAAGTAATTAGTTTCCTTAGTTTTAATCAATCATTTTGCCAATTTCTCTTTTGTTAACTCAAATATACATTAGGTCATTAGTCTTGCTCTCTGTGAATTCGACCCTGCTTACCACTAACTACTGTATTTAGGTTTAATTTTGTGACCGTGACGACCGGTCCAACACATGATAGGAATTTTCATTGGCTGTAGTAGTCAATCCAAAGCATACAGGGTTCATGTTCCAAAAACCAATAAAATACACATCACAAGGGATGTTAAAATTGATGAGAATGGAGTCTGGAATTAGGAGGAAAACAAAACTAATGAAGACTTAAGATCACATCCGACAAAACTTGTAGTGAATCAAGATGATGAAGAAGAGGGGGCTTAATCAGATGAAGAGGTTCCCGCTAGAGGTACTAGACCTCTGACATAAATTTGTGAAAGATGTAATGTTGCCATACTTGAGCCTACAAACTACATTGAGGTTGCAAAGTCAAGCACTTGGAAGGATGCAATGACGGAGGAGTTAAACATGATTGAAAAGAATAATACCTGGGAATTGGTGGACAGACCAGCAAACAGAAAGGTGATTCGGGTTAAATGGATTTATAAGAGGAAATTGAATCCAGATGGATCAGTTCACATGCACAAAGCAAGGCTAGTTGTCAAGGGGTTTGAACAACATGTTGGAGTGGACTTTTCGGACACATTTGCACTAGTGGCCAGGTATGATACAATCAGGCTTCTCCTTGCTCTAGCAGCCCAATTTGAATGGAAAATTTTTCTGCTAGATGTTAAGTCTGCGTTCTTGAATGGTTGGCTCAATGAAGAAATCTATGTGGAGCAACAAGAGGGATATGATTATGAAGTTGAAGGCTAAGAGAACAAAGTCTATTTGCTAAGGAAGGCTTTATATGGCCTGAAACATGTTCCTAGAGCCTGGTATAGCAGAATTTATGATTACTTAATTAGTGTGGGATATATGAGGGTCCTAATGAGAACACATCACCAGAAGTAGCACAAGCCAGCTGAATGAATTCAAAAGGCTATGCATAGTGAGTTCGAAATGACTGACTTAAGGGAAATGTCTTATTTCCTTGGTATGGAGATCAGTCAAACTCAATATGGAATCTTTGTTAGCCAACAGAAATATGCTAATGAACTCCTGAAAAAGTTCAATATTGACAAATGCAAACCAATGGATACTCCATTAGTTGCAAACCTGAAGCTGAGCAAAGATAATGGGGCTGTGAAGGTTGATGAGGGAATTTACAAAAGCTCGATAAGGTGTTTGTTGTATTTGACAACAACCAGGCCTGACTTAATGTTTGCAACAAGCCTCCTCTCTAGGTCTATGAGCAACCTAAGTGAAATCCACTTCATGGCAACCAAGAGAGTGTTGAGGTACATTAAGGGGAGTTCTAATCTTAGTGTTTGGTTTAAGAGGTCTGAAATTTTTTAACTTGTTGGATACTCTGACAGTGACTGGGCTAGATCCATTGATGAATGTGGAGTACTTCTGGTTATGTATTCTTCTTGAATTCAGGTGCTATTTGTTGACTGTCCAAAAAGCAGGATACCATAGCTCAGTCCACAGTAGAAGTAGAATATATATCTGCTGCTGCTGTGAACAAGCCATTTGGCTAAGAAAAATCATAGATGATTTGAAGCAAAAATAGAGAATTCTACTGTGATTCTATGTGATAATCAATCTGCTATTGCAATGGATAAAAATCCAGTCTTACATGGTTGCACAAAGCATATCAAGATTAAGTTTCATGTTGTAAGGGAGGCGGAATGTAATGGAGAAATTAAGTTAGTTCATTGCAGGGGTGAAGATCAAGTGGCAAACATCATGACTAAGGCTTTATCCAAAGCCAAGTTTGAAGATTTCAGGCTCAAACTTGGTGTTTCCAGCAAAAATATCAAGGAGTGTTGAAGCCAGTGATATTTTGCTGGAAATGCAGCAAATTCTGTCAACTTTTTGAAAAATCTTTTTGGCACCAAGAATACAAAGTTGCTATTCTGATTGCAGTAGGAGATGTTGTTTTGTTGTATTTTGATGTACTTTGTGACAGGTTTAGTTGAAACATGCAGTGATTAAGTGGTGTATTTGACTGACTTGATTTTGTATTAGTTGAATGTAATTTAGTTCAAATTCAAATTTGTAAAAATATCCACTGCATTAGGTGTAACAGTGGACTGGTTTATGTATATATTTCCCCTGTTTCATAAATAATAAGCAGAGCACATATTGATGCTGCCGTCTCTTCCTCTTTTGCTTAATATAATTCTTCTCATTACTCTCCAGCATAACCAACAGATCCACACACCTAGAAACGCAACTACCCTCACTACAACTCATGCTTGATCCTGGTTTAGTGATGCACTTCTCAAAGCACTTGCCTGTTACAGTCTGTGTAACACATGAAATGCCATCAATAAATACTAAGCAAAGGGAGATAAATATGCATTTGTTCAAAACAAGAGATGAATGGATAGCAGATAACGTTTCTTCTTATATTTAGGCTTAGTTTGCTGTGCCTTCCCTCATATTCTCAGCTATTGTGTTGGGCGCAAAAATCAGAATGTTACGAAACATTTTGGAGGTTCTGATGGAGAGCACGCCTAGAGAGATTGATGCCACTGGACTTGAGAAGGGGCTTTGTGAGATGGATGAGGTTGTTGCCATCCATGAATTACACATTGGGCAATAACAGTTGGGAAAGCGTTACTGGCGTGCCATGTCAAAATAAAGCCCGATGCTGATGCTGACATGGTTCTAGACAAGGTTGTCGAGTATATTAGGCGAGAATAAAACAGCAGCCACGTGACTATTCAGATAGAGCCCCAGTAGGCAGTAGTTCTGATGAGAGATGACTGGGTATGTGGTGTTTTTCTGGGTGAGCCGGGTGTCAGTTTTAACTTTTCAAATTCTTTTACACCAGTTAAATGATCACATCAACTATGTAGTTGGCTGATTTATATTCCTTCAGCATACATATAGGTGGTGTTGACTGTTAAGGGATAATTTCTTATGCGTTATATCAATTACTGCTTTCTTCAATCTTCCTTTTTCTGTTATCGCTTTGATCATTTGCCAGTTAGATTCATTAAACAGATTTGAATGGGCTCAAATTCAATGCCCTGTTAAAATCAAGTATAATTATGCTTCTGATACACGTACATAAGACAAGCCATAATGACAGTAGAGGAAACTACTTCACATAGATTTATAGAACTCTATAACTGAGAAATTAAATGCAGAACAAGGCACTTGAATATGAGAATACCCTGCGTCTTCTCCCAAACTTTGAAATTCTTTTCTTGTCCTCTCCTTTCCTCTCGAATTCATGTTCATCATGAACATATCTAACTGAAATAAGCTTTTTGGAGCAAGAATAGTTTCAGGGGCTTCTGGTATTACTAAATCAACTACTATCACTTTCCCGTTGGCCGGTAATGCTTCATAGCAATTTTTTAGTATCTTCACGCGGTGCTCATCGTCCCAACTGTGTAGGATCCACTGTTTCATACAAATTCTGTATTGATTAGCTCAAAATTTAATTGAGTAAGACAAACTATAAATTGAAATGAATACTTGGATTCCTTCAACTTCAGAAGTATCAACCAAGTCATCAACAGAAATCATTTAAATTGTGCAAAAATGATCAAGTCTGATATCTGCAAACCTTCATGAAAATGGCTTCCCCTTTTGGAATGCCTATGAACATATCCCCTGCAACATGCTCAATACCTGCAACAACATTTGTTCAAATATCAAATATGTAAAACTGGTAACCTTTTTGGACCGTTTCAGCATCATAATCAAACATGTAAATAAGTCAAAAAAAAAAAAAAAAAAAATTCTTTATACAAACTGTAGAATCAAATAGAATTTTCTACGAGTAGTTAACAGTAAAGTAGATCAAAATTTTCGGCTCATTATCGTCAAAGAAGATAAAGTGCAGTTGATAAGTCTACTATGAGGTCAGAAACAAAACCTAAAAGTTCATACCAGGATAGGAAGTTGACTTTTCAATAGTTGAAGGCAGATCGTAGTTGACACCCTTAATTGCAGGATATTTGGATATGATCATCTTAAGGATAAAACCATCCCCACCACCCACATCAACCAGAGATTTTAAACCATCAAAACCTTTATATATTTCCAGGATTTTCTGCATAAATATAGGGTTGAAATCTTTCATGGAGTCTTTGAATATTTCACCAAGTTTGGCATCCTTCCCAACATACTCAACAGCACTCATTCCATACGCCTTGTTAAATGGAAGTTCCCCTTCAACGACTGCTTCTTTTAGATGATGCCACATATCTAACATCACTTTGTCCTGAACCAATTCTGGCAAGGGAGCCAAACACCCTCCATCTTGGTTCCGGATGAAGTATTTGGCTACTGGTGCCAAACCATAGACACAATCAACTTGACCACCATCATGATCACTAGTAAGAGAGCATGTTAAAATAGAGTGGCTAGCAAGAAGGCGGAGAATTCGATCGAGAATTGAAGGGGCTTGTGGTTTGTTTTGAGTAACAAGTTGGGCAGCAATTTGTGAAGAGGAGAGTTGACCTCCAGGACCAGCTTTGTCTATGATATCAAGCACACCAAGTTCAATTGTTTCTTTTAACACCATAGGCAAGACTGATGCGCTCACTAGTTGCATGGCATACTGTCCAAGCATATGATCGTCCTCTTCATTTGTGGACGTTTTCATCTGGTTTTCCTCGGAGTTCATCTTGTGTTTTTGGTTGTTGAAAACACAAAGTTTTAGGGAGGATAATCTAAGATCTTTGATCTTTCTGACCAGTGCAAATAGTTCTAGTTAATTATTCTAGGTGGACATTTGTTTATATATATATATATATATATATATATACCGTATGAACTACAAGTCCTTGGTCATGACTTTTGTCTTCTTCCCTTTTTCTCCTCAAATTATTAAGAATTTCAATGCTTTCTAATTAGAAAACAGCATCATGCCGTGTCCAAGTTTGAGATTTCGCTGTTTCTGGGCTCTGCTGACTTATTACACCCTTTGGTCTTTCAAAAATTCTATTAAAAACAACACATATCTAGATAGAGGATAATTAGTTTTACCTCGATAGTCAATACCAGCACCACATAAAAATAATTCCTGATTCTGATCTAAATTAAAATTACATAACGTTAAACTTGATTACAGATGAAATATAATCAATAACTTTAATGGTGGTGAAATTATCCATCCACAAACATCTAGTGTGTCTGTGGTTAATTAAAAGGATGAAGCAGTAGTAGAGGTTTTTAACATGTCCAAGCAGCATTCAGTTTCAAAGGGGGCTAGTACTGAGACTACTTGAGGTCATATCAGAGAGTTTAGGCCTTCAAAGAGATTATATAGACAAATCATTAGGCAAACATGCCCAACACATGGCTTTGAACTATTATCCACCCTGTCCACAACCAGAGCTAACTTATGGACTTCTGGATATACTGATCCTAATTTAATCACTGTTCTTTTTCAAGATGATGTGCCTGGCCTTCAGGTTCTCAGGAATGACAAATGGGTTGCTGTCAATCGTATCCCCAACACTTTTATTATCAATATTGATGATCAAATGCATGTAAATGTAAACTCCCCTCTTCCAGAATTTCTCATAGTATTCAGCATATGTAAAGTCTCTATAGGCAGCCGGGTGGTTATGGTCGATTAACTCCTTGGCGGGACCTATTAAAGCATCTGGCGATGGACAATAAAAGGTTGGAATGGATATGCGCTCCTTGTCACAGTTCACCACAGCTCGATGAAGCACACTCTGGTACCGATCATTGCTGAGTACCTGATACAAATTGACCCACCACGAAATTATTACCATCTTTAAATTCAATATATGCTCCAGGGCGCACATGGACAAGAGCTAGGTAGAAAATTAATTAACAGAGAATAAATTATACACAAGGAGCAAGTTCTTTTATTATATATACAATTAATTTACCTGCATTTGATCACCAATGTTGATAATAAAAGTGTTGGGGATAGGATTGACAGCAACCCATTTGTCATTCCTGAGAACCTGAAGGCCAGGCACATCATCTTGAAGAAGAATAGTGATTAAATTAGGATCAGTATGTCCAGGAAGTCCATAAGTTAGCTCTGGTTGTGGACAGGGGGGATAATAGTTCAAAGCCATGTGTTGGGCATGTTTGCCTAATGATTTGTCTATATAATCTCTTTGAAGGCCTAAACTCTCTGATATGGCCTCAAGTAGTCTCAATACTAGCCCCCTAATACTTGTGCAATACTCGGCCACGTCTTCCCTGTCAACACACAAATTTATTAATGATACATGATTCGCCACTATAAAGTTAAGTGTGTATTTATATATATATGTATGTATACAAGACCTGAAGGATGGAGGATTAGTAGGCCATTCATGGACGTAATTTTCAAGAGGATAACAATGAAGTCTCAAGAAATCTCTCCAGTTGGCCACCTTTTCGGTCTTAACATTGAAACTAGTGGAGAGCCTAGTGGTTTTGGAAGGGTCATCAGAGTAACTCTTCAACCTCTCACTCTCTGGTAATTTGAAAAATCTTCTTGCAATGTTCAACATGATATTGATCATTTCCTCTGAAACTCCATGGTTTTTCACCTACAGGGACAGGTGTATGTATAGATTAAGATGTAGTTATAGCAAGTAATAATGAAGTTGAAGATTATTGCAAATAATAAAGTATATACCTGAAAGAAGCCATCGTGTTGGCATGCTAAACCAATCTGTTGGATGATTTCAGAGTGGCGAGGACCGTAAAGACCATCAAGATCGATAAGAGGAATAGAAGAAGCATCTGATACCTCAACTTGCGTGAGATTTGGACGGTCATTGATGGGTCTGATACAGTTAGAGGGAACGTTTTGAACAGTGGATGCAAGGTCGGAGAGTAGGAGCTTGGTGGAAGCGGTAGCTATAGCCATATGAAATAATATATTATTATGAAATATAAAGGAAAGGAACTGTATAAGTGATGGATGGTATGGCGTTTGATAGTCCCTATTTATAGGAAACAATATTGCTAAATGAGAGAGGAGAGAGGATAAGATAAAGGAAGAGTTGCCGAATCCCGACTGAACTGCTGGAAGATAATGTGAGCGACTGAGCCGTGAGAATCTACAAATTAATTGGCTTGGTGTGCCACTGCCGCATTTATCAAATTTATAATTCTTTTCTGCGGAACCGTGAATAGACGTAAATGAGTTAAAAATTTGGTGCTTCTTTTAAGTGTACAAAAGGTCATGGTCAAATAATTAAGAATAATAGGTATACTTTTGACTTTTGAGCTATTATGTCTAAAAAGTCGTGCTAATGGCAACTCAATAATAGCCTAAAAGGTGAATTGTATTTTCTGTCGAGCCTATACCGGTTAAAGGTATCTTATATTAATTCTATCCCTTTTTTAAAGAAGCAGGCTGTATCACCTCAAAGATACCTTATATTAATCAGATATCATTTTAAAAGAAATACAGATGAGAGTTTTTGATGTATCAAAATAACTTATAAAACACTTATTATATTAACCTTAAAATTATATAAATTAAGAAATTATATTAACCTCAAAGTTATATAAATTAAGAGGGAGATTAGACATATGAGAATTAGGCATAGATTTAAGCTTTATTTTTTTTCTCTATAAGTAAAATATTTCTTCATCTTTGTATGTCTTACGGGCAATATGATAGAAATAGTGAGAGAATAATAAAATAATAATGAATATAGGACTTGTTTTTAACATCCGAACCACTATAAAAATCTCTCTTTTTAATCTATTATTTATGTTTTCTGCAACATATATAATCTCAGCATCATATTCAAATCTCATAGATCTATCACGTATAACTTCTGAGTCCACTTAATATTTCTCACGTATAAGTCATTAGTATCCAAAATCAAGCATCAACATAGCATAAGATCATCTCCAACCCATTGCTTGCTATCATCTATCATTTCATTAGTAAAAGTAAAACAGCCATATTGTAAATATGTTAAAAGTATTCTTGTGGAGCTTGGCATCTTTTCACACTTTTACTAGTAGCCAAATCAAATCAGATTACCTCTAACTAGTTTCACGATTCGTTTGAGACTTTTATGTGTATTATTTAAGAAGTCATAAATTTGAATCTACGCGATTATTAATAAAGGACAGTCTCAAAAAACTTATTTAGCCGTTAACTTTAAGACTTCAGAGATCCACATACACATGAGATCCTGTTTACATGATATGGGCAATCTAAATTATCTACTGTAAAATTTTGCAATTCAGATATCCGGTCTCAATCGTCAGAATCATTCGTTTAATTTTGTGATAGGGTAATCGACATCCAGCTGGCAATTGATTATGTATTCTTGCACCCAAACTAGAATTGATAAAGAATAGTGATAAAGAGTCTCGGCGTGTCAACACTGGCACCTCTGCGGACCATGAAATTGATTGTGGGGTATAACTTCTTCACGAAAACCAACGTAATGAATTTCGATCACAATATTAGTTATTGGAAATTATCCCATCACACCAGCTAGCAAACCAGATAATTTGGCAATTTGGTGGAAATCCACATGTGTAGGGTGTGGGGTCAGAAATTAAACTATTTAGATGTCTGTAATCGCTTGTGATCTGGAAATAATTAGGTTTGTAACTTATACCCCTTGTTTAACTATAATTTATATTCTATGTGAAACAGGTCCCATTTTAAGAATTTACCCATACTCGTAAAATTCAACCAGAACAATGCTCTCCAGACTATGATCTGTTATCATAGATGGAGCACGCAGATATCCCCATGGTTCAACCCTGACCTCTGGCCTCCTAGATGGGCTTCGTGACCAAAGGTTATAGAAAACAAGAACCTTGGTCCTCCACAAGGCCTTCCAAAGCACTTTAAAACATTTTCCTATGCCTCTCAAAACCTCGACTTTAGATGACCAGTGTATGTTTGGATGTATATATTCTCACCAGAATTTTAGATGGCATACCTGAAGCTACTGATATTTTTCAAGTCAATGACACTGGTTAATTGCAAGACAAGTTAATTACTATCAGGAATGACTCCTAATTCAGCATTCGGACTGGCCTTATTCAACTTAAACCAGGATAACGGGGATGATTAGGTGGATCACCATTATAATATAAACAGCAAGTCCTTGATCATGACTCTTTTTCCCCTCAAATTATTAAGAATTTCGATGCTTTCTAATTAGAAAACAGCTTCATGCCGTGTCCGAGTTTGAGATTTCTCTTTTGCTAGGCTGCTGACTTATCTTAAGATAGAGAGGATATTTAGTTTTACATCAATACCATAACTGGTATTAATTACTAGCACCACATAAAAATAATTTCTGACACTGATCTAAATTAAAATCACATAATATTAAACTTGATTACAGATGAAATATAATCAATAATTTTAATGGTGGCGAAATTCTCTCTCCACAAACACCTAGTGTGTCTGTGGTTAATTAAAAGGATGAAGCAGTAGTACTCAGTTTCAAGTCCCCTCTTCCAGATATGTAAAGTCTGTATAGACAGCCGGGTGGTTAAGGTCGATTAACTCCTTGGCGGGACCTATTAAAGCATCTGGCGATGGACAATAAAAGGTTTGAATGCATATATGCGCTCCTTGTTACAATTCTCCGCAGCTCGATGAAGCACACTCTTGTACCGATCATTGCTGAGTACCTGAAACAAATTGACCCACCACGAAATTATTACGATCTTTAAATATAATATACGCTCCATGGCACACATGGACAAGAGCTAGGTAGTGTGAAGCAATGGTTAGGATGAAAATGTAATGATTTAAGAGTAGCCTAGGTTATTTTGTATATTAGCAAAATAATATCCAAACGGTACATTTTAGTCTAAGAATTTAGTTGCATATAATCACCTATTTGTAACTAACTTCAATTAATGAAAAATCCCCAATTTTCGGGTTCTTGTCCTAGTTTTTCTTTCAACTGTTCTTTATAGATTTTCCTTTATTTTTCTTCATTTTTCCTGAAATCCTTCTTGGTATCAAAGCTATCGACTAACATCCATGGCTAATATATGAATCCTGAGTTCTCAATTTCAGCTTCTAAAATAGAGATTGAACAAGCTCGTAGTGCAAATGCGTCCAACTTAATGCTTTAATCCTCTCTCCCAACTAGGGGTGAGCACGGGTAGCGGGTAGAATCGGAACCTGCGGGTAGAACCAAAGCCTATCTGGAACTGACACTATGCAGGTAGATTTCGATTCCCTTTTTTTGGAACCGACCCTATGCGGTTCCGATTCCGATTCCTACATGTGGAGAACCAAAACCTGGAAAAAAGAACCTGCAGTAGGTACCCAGCTTGGAACCTGCAGCAGGTACCCGGCTTGGAACCTGCAACGGGTATCCTATTTTGGATCCTGGGTTAAAATGAAATATCTGTGAAGAATGGGGGGTCTATATAATTTTACATATAAAAAAATTTAAATGGAAAAATTTAAATTTTTACAATAACCTAATTAAATAAATATATAATTATACTTATTACGTATAAACTACACCATATAAAAAACTTTAATAGATTATGATATATTAATATTAAAGTTTTGATTAATTAAGTGTATAATTAGAATTATGACCAATTAAAAGAATTATTTTTTAATAAAATAGTATATTTGATTGAATAATAATATAATATTTAGTTATTTACTTCAATTATCAAGTTCTAAGTATATTTGTAGTAAATTAGTAATTAATTAATTATATAAAATAAATTGATAAACATTAATACATTACTAGTTAAATGATTACTTAATCAATTATAAAATTATATTATCGTTAAATGATTACTTAATTAATTATAAATTTATAACATTACAGTAGTAATTTAGTACATTACTTAATTAAATAATTAGAAATTTATTTAATTATAACATTACATTATAGATTTATAGTATAATTATTTAATTAATTATAACATTAAATGATTACTTAATTAATTATAGCATTCCATCATAAACGTTAATACAATACTTAATTAAATGATTAAAAATTTAATTGATTATAATATTACATTAAAGATTTATAGTATGATTACTTAATTCATTATAACATTACATTATAGTATGATCACATAATTAATTATAACATTACATAATGAAATTATTATTTAATTAATTATGAAATTATATTATAAATATTAGTAGTTTATTACATTAGCACAATACTTAATTAAATGATTAGAAAATTAATTAATTATAACAATACATTATAAATTTATAGTATGATTACTTAATTAATTATAACATCACGTTATAAACAAATAATTACTTAATTAATTATATCATTCTATTATAAACATTAGTACAATACTTAATTAAATTATTAGAAATTTAATTAATTATAATATTATATTAAAGATTTAGAGTATGATTATTTAATTCATTATAACATTACATTATAAGATGATCACATAATTAATTATAACATTACATAATACAATGATTACTTAATTAATTATGACATTATATTATAAACATACTATGTTAGCACAATACCTAATTAAATGATTAGAAATTTAATTAATTATAGCATTACATTATAAATTTATAGTATGATTGCTTAATTAAATTATTACTTAATTAATTATAATATTCAATCATAAACATTAGTACAATACATAATTAAATGATTATAAATTTAATTAATTAAATAATTATATTATAATTAAATAATTACTTAATTAATAATAACATTATATTATATTATAACCACTTATTAATTATAACATTATATAGTAAAATGATTACTTAATTAATTATAAATTTATAACATTATATTATAAACATTAGTAATTTACTACATTAGTACACCACTTAATTAAATGATTAAAAATTTAATTAATTATAATATTACATTACAGTATGATTACTTAATTAATTATAATATTACATTATAAACATTTGTACAATACTTAATTAAATGATTAGAAATTTAATTAATTATAATATTAAATTATAAATTTATAATATGATTGTTTAATTAATTTAATTAATTGTTTTGGTTTTGGTTTTGATTGAGGAATTTTATGTGAATTGTGATGAATTGATTGAATT